ACAGATCCTTATCTTTTGTAAAAGTGTAGCATTAAGTATACATCTAAATCACACATGATTTTACTTTCCAATTTTATGGGGATAGAAGACCATTAAAACTCACCTATTAATCAAGGGGGAAGAATGCCTATTATTAAAAAAATAACCAAATAAGCGGAGTACCAATGGCTCACATTTGTAATCCTAGCTACTCAGGAGGCTGAGATATAAAGATCACAGTTCAAAGCCAGCCCAAATAGGAAAGTCTGTGAGACTTATCTCCAATTAACAATTAAAAAAATGGAAGTAGAACTGTGGTTCGACTGACAAAAACAACAACAACAAATTTATAAAGTTAGGAATGGTGAAGAAATAGTATATAGAACCAAATGCAAAGAAGAAAAGGCTGGAGCCAGGCACCAGTGGCTCATGCCTATAATCCTCAATACTCAGGAGGCTGAGCTCTGAGGATGATGGTTCAAAGCCAGCCTGGGCAGGAAAGTTCATGAGACTTATCTATAATTAAGCACTAGAAACCCAGAAGTGGCACTGTGGCTCAAAGTGGTAGAGCAGAAGCCTTGAGTAGAAAAGCTCAGAGATAGCGCCCAGGCCCTGAATTCAAGCCCCATAACCCATGAAATGAGAGAAAAGGCTGGAAGAGGGGCAGAGAGGAAGAAGAAATTCCAAAACTGGCTACAGGACACTCTGGCTCCGCATCTCAACATGCTCCCACCTCATAGATTTAATTTGGTCTGCAGAGTAACTGATACAACAAAGCAGATCAGTTGTTACCCCTACACATACTTTACAGATTAAAAAAACACAACAACTAAGATTCAAATTAACAAAATGAGTTACCCAGGGTCAAATAATAACATAAGGCAGAAACCCTGACCTAAATTCTTGGGAATTCTGAAAACCCACTGGATCGTATGCAGAGACATGATTCAGAGAAGACAAAGGAAGAATGGGAGAGAAATCTAGGGAAGGAAATAGGGCCCACATGGGAAAACATTAAGATATAAGTGTAACGGAAGCAGTGGGATAGGGAAGGAGCTGAAGCTGTGAGGATAAAAATGAAGAGGAAGTGAAAATGGCCAAGTTCTGCTCCAATTTCTAGCTATCATGAAAAGGTAAAACATTATCTTCTCAAGCCTCTAAATCTATAAGACAGTCAAACACCCATACGAACTATAAAAGTACTAAAATAAGTGCCATGGAAGGGGAAAGACACTAATGTTGCCCCCAAATAAAGGAAGAGGCTGAACCCTGCTCTTTTCTAGGGAACTCTGGAACAAACCCCAACAGTGAATATACAACTACAGGAAGAATACTCACACATCTGTACTAAAAGCTATATTGTTTTTCTAAAACTAAAACTAAACAACAGTTGCTTTATGTAGCTTTCTATTGACCTTCTTTTTTTCTCTTAGGACTGGTGTTTAAACTCAGGGCCTAGTAGCTTGCCCAGCTGGTGCTCTACCTCTTGAGCCATGCTGTCAGCTTGGTTTTTTGCTGGTTAATAATAGATTCTCATTGACTTTTCTGCCCAGACTGGCTTTGAACCATGATCTCTAGGTGTCAGCCTCCAAAGCAGCTAAGATTAGAGACATGAGCCACCAGAGCATAGTTTGGCTTTTATTTGTTTGGTACCAGTGCTGGGGCTTGAACTCATGGCCTGGGCATTAGCCCCGAGCCTTTTTTGCTCAAGGCTAGTGCTCTACCACTTAAACCATAGCTCCACTTCCAACTTTTTGGAAGTCAGTTGGAAATAAGAGTTTCACAGACATTCCTACCCAGGCTGGCATCAAACCAGCACCCTCAGCCCTATCCTCCTGAGTAGCTAGAATTACAGGCATGATCCACAGGCTCCTGGGACTGTTTGACTTTTAAAAAGTAGTGTTAACAATTAAAAAAAAAAAGAACCTTGGGGAAGGTAGGGAGGGAAGGGATAGTAGGGGGAAACAATGGAGGGGGTAACAATGCCCAATAGGAAGTGTACTCATTACCTTACTCATGTAACTGTAATCCTTACAATAAAAAAAATTTTAAAAAGTAGTGTTAAAAGCCTGCTTTGGATGTTATTAATATCTATACATCCTTTTATTATCTTTTGTTTCTCTTTATAGAATGGAAGGTGTTTAAATTGTTACCCATGGAAACAGCAAAACAATTTAACCTCCAATGGTATGATTTTGTGTGTGTGATAGGGGAGCAACACACAATAATTTCACAAAATTGACTCAAGACTAATAGGAAAGATGTTCTTTATGTTAAGAAAAAAATAACCAGCAAGAAGGGGATGGCAAAAGGAAAAACATTCTAAGGACCATACAACTTCCTACAGTAACTCTGTCTGCCTCTGTGTGAAGTTCCCTCCACTAGATATACCATGGGCTTCAAAAGAGTTCTGAAAAGCCCCGTAGTTTCCCCTCTTCACAGGCTATGTTTTCCAGAGGGAGAAGGGAAAGCAGAGTATGCTGGAGTGCAGGCCCTTCATGTGATGTGAAGCACTCTGGACTAGCTCCAGAAATGTTGTTAGCAAGAAGCAAAACACAGGCTTACACCAGATTCTGTTTGCCCAAGGCCTTGCCTAAAAGCTCAAGGGATGACACTGAGAGTACTTGAAGGGACACCTCCTCTTGCTAAAAGAAGTCCTATACACAAATTCATTGGACACCAGGAAGCAGACATACCAAAATATCCAAGGCTAATCAGGGATATAGATACCCACAGTGGCGCAGCATAATAGGTGATGGCAGCAGAGGCAGCATGACTTGTGCCACCCACCCACCCCTTTCCAAATGCATCAGAATTCACAGGAGGGGAGATAAGAACAGAAAGGCTTACTTTTTCCTCTGCCTACCTTTTGCTTTGCCCTTAAAGCTAGACTCTACACCTCATCTTCTCATATAGAAATTTCTATAACCCTAAGGCAATTATTCTACAGGTAAATGATGATGAAAGCCATTTGAATCTGCTGCACAAAATATGTCAGAGTATGCTTTGAAAGGCATTTCTCATTACTAGCCCTACAAAGTGCATTAGCATTTAAGCATTCACAACTACTACATTCTAAACCACACTTCCTGCCCAGTACCAAGAAACTATTCGTGGGGGGGGGGGGGGGGGGAGATAGTTCCAGGAGGAATATGGAAACTGCTCGAGCCAGATCAGCACACAGCAATTTAAGAGTTTGGTGATAACCTTCCAATAGTGCTGCATTCTTTTTTTTTTTTTTGGCGGGGGGGGGGGGGTCCGGTCATGGGGCCTTAACTCTGGGCCTGGGTGCCGTCCCTCAGCTCTTCAGCTCAAGGCTAGCCCTCTACCACTTGAGCCGCAGCGCTACTTTGGGCTTTTTTCTTTTAGCTTATGTGGTGCTGAGGAATCGAACCCAGGGCCTCATGCATGCAAGGCAAGCACTCTACCACTGAGCCACCTTCCCAGCCCTAGGGCTTACTTCTTAACAGCAAATATCACCATAAGCACATCTAGCTCCCAAAGACACTGTTGATAAACAAGCTACGTTCTGGCCAATTGAAAACATATAGAGAACACCCATGAGCACAATTTAGGATATCTAAGCAAAACAAATACATTTGTTAAAATTATGGCTTGATCAATGAACATGTTTTTAAAAAGTATGTTTTTTTCTGTTATTTGAACAGAAGTACTAAAATACAGAATCTCAGAGAAGAGAACACCTAGGGGAGAATTGTCTTCCATAATTGGGTTTTCACAGATAAAGAAACTGAAGTTGTTTCCTTGAAAAAAGTCTAATAACACAGTAAACTCTTACATCCACCTGTGTAATTCCAGCTCCGAGGAATGTTGCACATAGAAAAATGTTCCAAAGAAAGTAATCCACTTTTACAAAGCTCTGGGCTATAATTACACTGGTTTTGTAGTCTGAGAGGGCAGGTGACTCAATCTGTGCCAAACACAAGGGCTCCAAGGACTAGAGAAGAGCCTCAGAGATTATCTAGTCTAGTCTAACTTCCTCATTTTACAGAAGAGAAAAAGACTCTTACAATAAAAAGCACAGCAGTCCACAGCAAGTATCACTTGCTCACAACTGTAATCCTAGTTACTCAAGAGGCTGAGATTTCAGGATCAAGATTTGAAGCTAACCTGGGCAAAAAAAAGCCTACTTTTATCTCCAATTAATCACCAAAAAACAAATAAAAAACAGACGAGGAGCTGTGGCTCAAGTGGTAGAACATTAGCCTTGAGCAAACAAGCTCAGGGACAGAGGCTAGATCCTGAGTTCTGACCCCAGGACTGGCACACATACTTCTTAAAAATGTGAACTAACTGTATTCATCTGTAGTGCCTGATGTGAATGTAAACACATATTAGGCATGTACAGACATATGTGTATGTGTATGTGTATGTATGTGTGTGTGTGCATTTGTATATGACAATAAGTCTTATTTTTGGTACAGTAAATGCAGCAAGTCACATTAAAAAAGACTTCAAGGAGAAATCTCCTATAAATGGACTTCTCTAAAGATCTATCAACTTTAAATATTAAATCCACTAAACACTGTATCTAAATGATCATCTTTAAAAAAAAAAAGAAACCAAAAATAAAAGAAAGTGCCAGTGGCTTATACCTCGCTTTCAGAAGGCTGCAATCCAATAGATCAAAGTTTAAGCCAGTGCAAGCAGAAAAGCCCACAAAAACCTACCCTTAACCAGCAAAAGTCCAGGCTGGAGGCCTGGCTTAAATGACAAAGAACCAGCCATGAATGACCAAGCAAGCAGAGAAAACTAAAGGTCCTAACCTTAAGTCTTCATTCTGGCAAAATAGACAATAGCTAGCTAGATAGATAATACAACTTCACTGATGAGTTATTTAACCATCTTATCATAAACATAAAAAGTGTCAAGAGCTGAGATTCTCTATATCAGTGCTTTAAAATAGTGTCAAAATCCTTTGTGACACAGATGAGAACCTCAGTTTCTATGATAAGTGGCAGCCTGATTTCAGAGTTCGAGTCAGTCCTGAGAAATATTACCTGTTTCTCTTTTTCCGGTGCTCTCTATTAGAATTTTCCGATTCACTACCACTGCTTGTGTTACAGCGCGAGCGCGACCTGAAGGCAAAATGGGAAAAGAAAAGGGGGGGAGGCTATGTTTATGAGAAAGAAAAAAATCTCAGAAACATTCATTTGGTTCTTTAGCAGTGATTTTTGTAATAAAACTGCTAATCTAGATATACAAGAACTACATTATCCCTCTCCCAGTCAGTTGTTGCTGAACTCAAACATGTGACTAAGTCTACAGCTCAGGGAAATAACAAGGGCAGGAAAGATAAAAACATATTAAAGCAATTGTACTCCCAGAAGGACCATGAGAACAATCGTTTCCAACAAAACTTAGACATGGCAAAGCTATAAGCTCCAAAAGTGGACTAAACATGGATGAAAAGTATTAGTCCTCTTCCCACTACCACTTACACAGAGAGATTATTTCCTCTGCTTTGAATTTGCAATGGTCCTGTGCCTGCTTTTACCAATCCAATAAGCTGTGAAAGACACTCTGACAGCTTCAGGAATGTTCTACAACACTCTTGCTCACTGCTACTTCCTCTCCACCACCATCAAAAGAAGACTAGGCTAGCCACTTGGAGAGACCTTATAGACAGGTCCAGCCAAGTCTCCAGCCACATTCCCCAAGAGGGAAACATGAGAGAAAAAGGTCCCCAGCTACCACACTGCCTCCTCTGCCATCCAATGCTAAGTTTGCAAAAAAAAAGAGCCTGTTCTAGCAAGAGAATTATACAATATATAGATGTGCTTATAAACACATCTACTGACATATAAAAATTTGTTGTTGCTTTAGAACACCAATTGTGGAGTGGTTTATAATACAATAATGAATAACTGAGCCAGCTTTAAGTAGAAAAAGAGAAATGACTCAATGTCCAAGGATGATACCGAATGGAAAACTGAGAACTAATTGAAACTAAAACTGTTTTTTTTTAAGTTAGGAAAAAAATATTTACAACATACAATATAATCTCTTAAGCAGCCACCATATCAAAGAAAAAACTATTCCCACACTTTCCTTAACTCTGACTATGGCTAGTCCTTCCTTCATCTTGCTAGCTGCCCTTTTGAGTTTTTTGTTTTGGTTTGGTTTTACCTCCTCCTCTGCTTTAGATCTGAGTCTTCACCACTGTTATGGGCTTTCCTAGGGAAAACAAAAGAAAATATTAAAGAAAAAAGAATACTATCAAGAAAGTACACCAGCTGAGTATGGTAGTACATACTTCTAGTACTTGGGGATAAAGGCAGGAGGATCTATAATTTGAGACTAGACTGGGCTACAAAGCAAGTTCAAGGCCAGAACAGGCCTCATAGTGAGATCCTGTCTCAAAAAAAATCTGTTCTGTATCTGTTCACCGAGCACACATTTAAGTCATACATATAAGCATGTAAGCTCAACAGTACAAACAGAAATACAACAAACCACCAACTGGCCTGGCGAAGCCAGAAAATTGGAGGGGGCAGCTAACCATCTGTAAGTAATTGTACACATGTCGGTTATTTTCCTTTTGTCCAGAGACAGGGGTCTGCAGTTTCCTGGTCTGCAGTCCTCCAAGGAAATTTCTAACTGACAGTCCCCACTGGATGCCCTGTCCCATACCTTGGTCTTCAAGTCTTTTTATCTCTTCTCTGATAACCTCTCCCATTACAACTCAACATCATCATGGTCACACTGTGGACTTTACTGTCTGTAGCCAGCTCCAGACATTTTTGTTCTCTGACCATAACCTCCTCTCCTTTCTATTTGCCTTGAACAGCTCCAGTGGGGGCATCTTGTTACAAGTACAGGTTCTGAAGCCAGACACACTCAATGTGAATCCCATCACCTCCACTGCTAACTCATTTCTCTACTTAGTGCCTCCATTTTAACAGAACCTTCCATAAATGGTTGTTATGAAGAGCCAATGAATGAATACAACTAAAATGAAGAGTAGGATGAAGTCATTGCAAGTACTCAACAATGGAAGCTATGTTATGACTGCTTATTCAACTATTTTCATTTCATTATGCTTTTTTTTTTTTGTCGGTCGTGGGGCTTGAACTCTGGGCCTGGGCGCTGTCCCTCAGCTCTTCAGCTCAAGGCGAGCGCTCTACCACTTGAGCTACAGCGCCACTTCCGGTTTTCTGGTGGTTTATTGGAGATAGGAGTCTCATGGTCTTTCCTGCCCAGGCTGGCTTTGAACCGCGATCCTCAGATCTCAGTCTCCTGAGTAGCTAGGATTACAGGCGTGAGCCACCAGCGCCCGGCTCATTATGCTTTTAACTCCAACAGGACTACCTATTGACTTTACACCTTTCTCCAGCTCTTTACCTTTCTTCATTGTCCTCCTCACTCAGCTTAGATTTTTCTAGCCTGTCTTTTCAATGACCTGTGTCAATACTTAACCCTTGTCTTGTCTCTGTATTTCATCCGATCTTTTTTGGCAAAACACCATACATGGGTAAATACAACTCTCCAGGTGTTCTGAGCCAGCCCCAAATAGCTGGCCGAGCATAGCTGTGAAGAGCTACACAAGAGCATATCAGTTATGCTTCAATGTTCACATTGTGAACCTTAGCCTTCTCATTACTTTTCTCTGCCTCTGCAGAGAGTGATTAAGGCTTCCACTTGCATCTCTCCAGCTAAGGTTCCTTTGCTCCAGTATATGACTTTGCTTTCTCCTTCCAAAGGAGCCAGGGGCCGGAACTCTTTCATCTTCCTGCTACCAAAAATAACAATTTACCAGCATCCCCCTGTTATTTATAGACCTATCCTGACAGGTGCAGGACCTGCACCTGTGTTGTACAAGACCCATCCCTGAGTTTTCTCAATACTTTCATTAACTATTCTCTTTTAAAAAACTGCCAGTTTTTTTTTTTTTTCCAGTCATGGGCCTTGAACTCTGGGCCTGGGCGCTGACCCTCAGCTCTTCAGCTCAAGGCTAGCGCTCTACCACTTGAGCCACAATGACACTTCTGGTTTAACTCTTGTGGTCTATTGGAGATAAAAGTCTCACAGACTTTGCTGCCCGGGCTGGCTTTGAACGGTGATCCTCAGCCTCTGAGTAGCTAGGATTACATGTGTGAGCCACTGGTGCCTGGCACCAGCTAACATTCTCACCCCATCTTATTTAAATAGGTACGTATCTATGATTACTCCACATACCCCAATCACTCCACATACCCCAATCTTCTACTGAGACTCACCTTTCTTTCAAAGCCAAAACCTGAGGTCTAAGCATCCTGTACCTTGTCCTTCTCACCATTATTCTAATCTCCCTAGGGTAGGCATAGCTCATAATGCCATCACCATTGCTTATATTCTCCTATTATTGCAATATACTTGTATCCAATACCACAACATTGAAAGTAGTTCTTGTCCTAACATCAAAATTTTGGGTAATCATTACTATATATACAAGTATATGAGTACTCTTATAAGGATTATCTATATAGTGTTTTAGGAATGTAGTTCCATTATAGGATTTTAATTTTCTGAGGGAGGCTGATTTTCTAGTTTTCTATGATAAACCACTTGCTTAGTTTTCCTTTGCTTATCAGTAATTCCTCATCTACACTCTTTGGGAGTTGCCCAACTCCTGATATAAACTGAACAGACCCGCAGGTAATCACGAATTCCACACGTCCTCCTCCTGTACCCTCTGTTCTTCTGCTCACACTGGAGGGCCTGTTCCTTAGCACCAGTGCACACTGATGTTTTTGATAGACTCCCTTCACCATGATCTGGAGAATTCTTTTCTTTGTATGATAGATCCTGTATTTCCAAGTTTTGAGACTTCTGGTCTTAGTTATCAATCATCTTTCACAGGATCTGACTGTACGTGTTTTTTTGTGTGTTTTATGGGTTTTTTTGTAGTGGTAGGGGTCTCATGCATGCTAGGCAAGTGCTTTGCCACTGAGCTATAACCACAGCCTAGCTGCACCATTTAAATGACATTACGATGTGCATCGGTGGCTCATGCTACTTCATGTAATCCTAGTAATCCAGACTACCTCATGTAATCCTAGTAATCCAGACTCAGGAAGCTGAAATCTGAGGATCAGGGTTCAAAGCCAGTTGGGATGGCAAAGTCCATGAGACTCTTATCCCCAATTAACCAGCTAAAAGTGGAGCTCAAGTGGTAGAGTACTAGCCTTCATCATAAAAGCCCAGCGACAGCGCTCAAGCCCTGAGTTCAAACCCCAGGACTGGCACCCTAAAAAAAAAAAGGAAAAGAAAAAAGAAAAAAAAAGTAGTCTCTCAAACTTTTTTTTCTTTTGCCCAGGCTGGCCTGGAACCAGTTTTCTCCAGATCTCAGTCCTTCCCACATAGCTACTATGGCAGGGACTCACCATCCCAGCTATGGTTTGAGAAGTGGTCTTTCGTGCATGTATTGCCTGGACTCCTCAATATCCTGACCTCACTCTCTCTCAAGTAGCTAGCTAGGATTTCAAGCATGGGCCACCACACCTGGCTTTTGTCTTGATTTTAATGGGTCAAGTCTTCAAGTTTGACAACTGAGATTTTGCAATGGTAGATATATTTTGGAAACCTTGTATTTCTGTAAATGTTTTATTCTACACATGCAATCACAATTTATCTGGGCATAGAATCAAAGACTGATAATAATCTTTCAGAATTTTGAAGGAAGCATCTTCCTTGCCTTTGATGTGTTTTATTATCACAGAGCTAGCTGTTATGCAGCCCAATGTCATTCTGACTTGTCATGAATACTTGTGCATGGATTTTTCCCTCTCCCATCTCTTCTTCTCTTCTCCAGCTCTTTAAATTGTCACTTAATCTGCATTTTGAAACTTAACGATAGTAGATCTTGGTATGAACCTCATTTTTCAATCTATTGTGCCAAATTCTCTGAGAGTTGTTTTATGTCTAAAAGTCATGTCCTTCAGTTATGGGATATTTACTGAATGTTCATTTTCCTATATTTTCTACTTAATATTCTCTTGCTCTATATGCTCCTTATTTTTTATCGGAAATTCCATTAATTCAATTTTTTGATATATAGGTTCAATAATTTTATTAAACTCTTATCACCAAACAAAATTGTTTCTGTTCTCCTAGGAAGATTTCCTTAACTTCATCTTAAGTTCAGTCATACTGCTATAAAGTCTTTGTTTCTATTCTTCTAGGAAGATTTCCTTAACTTCATCTTAAGTTCAGTCACACTACTATAAAGTCTAAGAACTAATATTCACTGACTCTTACCTTCTTATAGAAATTCACTGACATTATTTTTCATTTTTCTACAGATAATCCTTGCTAGCAATTTTGTGTGTGTATTTTATTTTCTCTGCTTCCTGTGAGATTCTTCCCCGTCCCTGAACCTCATTTGTTTGTTTCAGTGTCTGTCTTTCAAGACAGAAGCTACACTAGAGTGCAGACTTTCATGGCTCTCTTCAGCTCTAGACACTAAAGAGACTGGGACCTGTTATGTGGGGCAGAGCATGCTGAGTGATAGCTCCACTGTTCTTTGGGGGTAGTCTCAGCCCCTTGTGAGAAGATTCTTTGAAAATTACTTTCTGTAGGTTTTTTTTCTCTTATACCTGCCCATCCTACAGAAGGATTTTTTTTTAGTCTCATGCGTAGTAGATGAGATAAAAGTCTGGCTTCTAGCATTCTGGGAGTGAGGAAGGAGGAATCAAAAACAAAATTTCAATAAGAAAGAAGCAGAGAGGAAGGATCCATTTGGAGAGCACATTTGAAGAGTAGGTTTTTTCCCCCCCCTATGGCTACAATGTCTTTGCTTCCTCCTTTACCAGCCAATCCTGTTCAGTGAAGCAACAAAATGATGGCGTTTCTTACAGCTCTGCCATTGGCTTTGTCTTTACATCATCTGTCTAAAGCTTCATCTCGATTACATGTCTAAATTAATATCTTTAGTGTTAATTGATATTGATGATTGATATTTCAGTCCACAGTTAATCTAGCTCTGAATTTATAATCCAACAACCCATGAAAATCTTGTACTTAAGACTTCTCAGCAATACTGCAAATCTGACAGATCAGACACTAAATTCCCAATTGTCCCTTTCAAGCCTGCAATGTTCTAGTGATTTTATTTTTATGCATTGCACCTGAATTCCTGAAATTACAGTGTCTTGGATTCATTTTTTATAATTGCCTAGTCTCCATCCCTCATACTGATGCTATGGTTTGGGTCCTATATATTGATTTCTCTTCCTAAAGGCTCTCAAACCATTTGTTTTCTTATGTCCCTACATCACTATCTTGTCCAAGCCCTCCTTCTCTATCTTATTTTCTGTGTTTTTTTAAGGGAAGGGGTAGTTGCCATTTGTTTGATTTTTGTTTTTTTAGAGAGAGGGTCTTATTATAACCAGGATAACCTCAAACACATGATCTGGCTTAGCTTAAATTACAGGTTTGTACTACCATGTCAAGCTCTAATGCCATTTCTTCCACAGTATAATAAAGGCCATTGCTATGAACACAAATGCAATCATATTTTATTTCCTTGTAAAAACTATTGGTTTAAGAACCAAATTCCTAAACAAGGCCCAAGTGGGCTTTAAAGTCTGTCGTACCTTTTTATTTGAGCTCATTTCTCAACTCTCAAAGGTTGAGAACAACTGGCCTTTTTTTTACTCCCCCATCCTCCCACCTTTTCAAAGATGTTCCCTGTTCTCTCCTAGCACCTTCTTTATCCCAGCTCACTGACTCATCTCAGGAAACCTTTGCTGGCCCACTTCATTAAGCAATTAGCAAACTTCCTCTAATGGTACTGGTTGTACAGGACTTCAATACGTAAATCCAGCAGGCTCTTATAATATGTATACTTTTGTGCATGCACACTAGGTTTCAATAGAGAGGTTTTTGTCAATTCCTCCAAGCAACATATAACTCACTTTCATATAACACCAAAGACAAGACTGTGCATATATTTGTGTGTTTTATGTATTTTTCCCTTAACAGCCTGTAAGCGTCTACAGGACAGGAACTTTGTCTAGTGTTTTTCTTTTTCACCCCATCTGACACACAGAAAGATACTCAATAAATCTTTGAGATTAAAAGACAGAGAAGATGAGGGGTACAGACACATTGCACTTCCAGAAAGTACATTGGTTTTCTTTTTCTGGAATAGAAATGTCTAAACAAGCCGCTTTCAAAAGTTTAATAAACACTGAAAATTATATGTCAATATTTATGCATATTTAAATATATATCTTTTCCTCTAGAGACTGAACCCGACATCTTATCAGATTCTCAGAGGGTGCCAACTCTCAAAAGGTTAAGGACCACTGTTGTAGACACAGCCGGGATTAGATAACTTACATCCATCTCATCAACAACAACTACAAAGCAAGAAGTTGTAATACCTTTCCAAAACGTGTTCATCCTGGCATCCAAAGCAAAACACAACTTCCCATTATTAAATGTTAAGTTAAATGTTAAGTCCTTGAGATTCTTCCACACGGATGACAAATCTCTGTTTTAAATGTCAGAGTTAATCCAGCAACGTAGGGATTTGTGCCCATGGGCAAAGCAAATGTGTGTGAAGATGAAAGAAGATGACAAGGACACGGACATTTATAGGACATTTACAGTGGAAAGAAATGGAGAATAATGCACTTTAGATTTCTATTCCAACATACAGCAATGGCTGGTTTCCTCGAAATGAATGTGCCCAACAAGAGACCTTTAAATGACCTGGAGAGCGGACAGAGGCTGTAGGGCCACTCAGGCAGAAAAGACTCTTCACGGTAAATTAAAGCACTCTTCCCTTGAACTGAGCCCTTAAAGGCACTGTATCCACTCTTCACAAACGACTTCTCAGTGTTTCACAGGATACCAGGCGAAAATGCATGTCAGTATAGATGTGATTTAGCCCTGATTTTGGCATGTATAATGTTCCAAACAGTCTTAAGCAATAAATTTAGGGGGAAAAGTAAATTTTGATATGTTTTAGCACAGATTGATGGATTCAAATTTCAAATGTATTAAAATAAAAATGATTATCTGCTGAACAGATGTCATAATTTTATTTAGGGAGGACTAACGAGTTACACTAGTGATTAAGGATCTATCCATCCCTCCAACAATCTATTCATCTAACAATAATAATGTTCAATCCTTAATAATAATGTGTTGTCCTTAATATATGTCACCATCACTACTTATACCTCTTCAATGCAGACACACACATACAATTACATGCAGACATACACATACACAAATATACAGAGGCATGCTGTTCTTTCCAGCATTTCACAGTGATGCTGCTTTGTCTTGGGTGTCACCACAGTTGAATGAATCCTTGGCTTTCCCAGGAGAGCGCTCAGTAAAAGAAGAGCCTTATTTAAATTAGGGCTTATTTTCCTTGTTTTTTCAGATCTATAGGCTTGGATTTGAATCCTAGGTGTATCCCAAAGAACACGTGGCTATCATCTCTCTCTCAGCCTGTTTTCTTATCTATAAATGACTAAGGAGTTTTCATGGGAAGCCAGTCCCATACTAACTCATTAATATCCTCTTCTTCATTGTTGCAACTAGAAGCCTAAAAATTATTTTCTCCTAGATTTCCTTGCCAGCTGCATTCTTGTTAGAAGCGGTCACATAACCCTTGAGGGTGAGAGAAAAGGGCAAGCAATTATGCTCTGGACAACTACGGCATCAGCTCCCAAGAATGGAGTCTCAGTGGCTCTAACCATGGTGCTGCTATCTCCGCCAGAGGCAGCAAGAGGAGCCCCTGCTCAGAATCTGTGCTAGCATCATTATGGTCCCCATGCAATGCTAGCTGAAGCACAGGCTCAGCAGAGCCAGCTCAAAGAAAAAGTAGCTTCTGATCTCTGGTCTTCTCTTCTCTAGTCCTCCATCCAAGGGAACTAACTGGCCAGCTCTCCAGGTTATATTATTCTTTACTCTCTGTGCCTTGACTCCTTCATACGCCAGTGTGGCAACTGCCTGCACAATCTGTGTTAGAGACTCCTATAACTTCATCAAATATCAGTTGCCAGAGCTTACCGACAGGACCAAATCAGATGCTAGACAGTGAACACTTTGCACAGTACTCAGAGCTCAGCAAGCACCAAACAAATGCTATTACTTCATTGTTCTCTAAGCACTGTTGGTCCTGATCTAGCTCTCCTTTCTCAGACCTTCTTGGGAAGGTGATGTAGATTCTTCTTAACCATCAGAGGATTTCAGTTGAATTCAAGTTGAGAAAGCTGAGGAGCAAGACTCTAGGAAACAGACCGAAGTAAAAGGCATCCAGTAGGGAAGGATCTACAAGTGAGTGAGCACAGGAGCACAGGAGGCTTTGTTTACAAAGCCACAATGTTATCTACAGAATCTTGATGGCTCTATGACACTGTGGCTTAAACTCATCACTTATAAAACGCTAATTATGTGAGTAGCCACAGTAAGACTAGGTCTTGATCAGTTGGTGTAAAGGGAATTTCACTTACAGGTCTCCCTTCATCTGTCACCTGTCATATTTCTGCATTGCAGCACCCAAAACCTCTAAGTATAGGCTTTTTATTTTAAGGTTAAGCATACAGGCACAAATAAAATGACAGAAACATTCTGACCTGCTTTATATGAGATTATGACTCATTTTCACAGCTCTAAAAGGGGCTTCCAGCCAGGCACTGAAGGCTCAAATGTATAATCCTAACTACTCAAGAAGCTGAGATCTGAGAATTGTGGCTCAAACCCAGCTCTGCAGGAAAGTCTCTTATCTCCAATTAACCACTAAAATGCAAGAAGTGAAACTGTGGCTCAAGGGGTAGCGTGTTAGCCTTGAACAAAGAAAAGATCAGGGATAATGCCAATGTCCTGAGTTCAAGCCCCAGGATCAGCACTAAAAAAAAAGTTATGTTTATGTTTACATAACAACCTCTGCAGAGGTCAGGGTACTCAGACCCAGCATAGAACACTTATATTTAAATGTTGTATTCTCTTCCTGGGTATAAATATTTAACACATTTATATATTATTTATACTATGTAACATGCATGCCATATTGTCAGCATAAAATATATATAGCATTCTTAAAATCTATTAATTAAAGTAAATTACACAAATTAATTAAAGAATTTACACAAAGTAAATTCTTCATGCTATTTTATGACATTATTATTTAAAGATCTGGCGGTTGCAGATAAATGTCTCCGGATCCCTAGTTTACTTTATCTTAAAATTAATCATCTCCAGTTTTCTCAAGGAGTCAACAGCAATGGCATTACAAGACCTTCCTCTGGTAAAAGCATGTTTGGGGATCAACGCTTCCATCAGAACCTGGAACCAGAGCTGTGCTCCTCTTACCGTCGCCTCATTGGCTGCACAGAGTCATTGTCACTTCCACAGGAGGGGTTTCGGCGACGAGTACAGGGGAACTTTGGTGATTTAGTGCGGTCACTGGGAGAATTGTAGAGTCCACTGGAGGAAAAGAGCAACGGTTGACATGTCAACTTGGAAGTTGACAGGAACTATGAGATAGCAGAAATTATCATGAATATGTCATTTGGACCGTGCAGAAAGATATTACTTCACTCTATGTCTATCACTATGACCTTGCAAGGAAAACATTGCATGTTTAAAACAATAAATTACTCAGGAGGCTGAGATCTAAGGATCACAGTTCAAATCCAGCCTGGGCAGGAAAGTCTGTGAAACTCTTATCTCTTTGAACTTTGGCTCAAAGTGGCAGAGTGCTAGCCCTGAGCACAAAAAGCTCAGGGACAGTACCTAAGTCCTGAATTCAAGCTCTACTACCAACAAAAAAGAAACAAAACCAAACAAAAAAAAAAAAACCATATTATTAGCTGTGCACAGTATCTCAAGCCTGTAATCCTAGCTATTTGGGAAACAGAGACTTGGGGGGTAGGTCATGGTTCAAGACTAGACTGTGTATAAAAGTTCATGCCTCGCATGCATAAGGTGCTGGGTTCGATTCCTCAGCACCACATAAGCAGACAAAAGCTGGAAGTGGCACTGTAGCGCTAGTGGTAGAGTGCTAGCCTTGAACTGAAGAGCTAAGGGACAGTGCCCAGGCCCAGAGTTCAGACCCCATTACTGGCAAAAAAAAAAAAAAAAGTTCACAACAGATTGCTGGGAAGGGTGGCACACATCTGTCATCCAGGCTACAGAGAAAGTAGATAGACGGCTGGACACAGTGGTGCCGATGTCACCCGCAGAAAGATGGAGAGGCACAGGTAGCAGGATCACAGTCCAGGATAGCCCAGGCATCAAATGACCTTACCTCAAAAATAACCAGGGCAAAAAGGGGTGACAGGTGTGGCCCAGTCAGTCTCAAGTACCTGCCTAGCAAATGTGAGTCCCTGAGCTCAATCCCCAGTATCACCAAAATAAACCAAGCAAAACAAAACACAAAAGAAAGAAAAGAGACCCAATATTGATTTCCACCTTGAAATCTGCCCCCAGTCAAGCCGGTTTAGGAATATGCCTTGCCCAGTACTAGCTGTTACCAGCCACATCACAGTAAAATTGCTGTATTCAGTGAGCTGTAACGGCTAACTCTTTGTTCTTATTCTCCTTTCTAAAGACAATGAGTCCCTTTACCTCTGGGGGCCATTTTCTTCCCACGGGGCATGAGATTTTCGTCTTTGGGTATCAGGGCTGTTCTCATTCTTTGCTTTCTTAAAGCTTTAATAAAGAAAAAGAAATAAAAAGAATGAAAGCAAGTTAACCAGAAAATAACAGACATTAACCCGTGTATTGATCTCTATAGTAAATTTCTTTCATACATGTTAAGATGTATACATACATGTTTATTTACTTGTTTATATCTGTGACTCATCCAAAAACAAAAAAAGGAACAAGAACTGGCTACTTAAAAAATATATTTCGCCAGCAAGTTCTTTTGGTTCTCTTCCTGGTAGCTCTATTGCTTTAAGTCAACAGATGGCAGGTCCATCAATTGTTAAAAAGCTTTCAAAACAGTTCACCTCAGGATAAGAAGCAAAAGCAACTGGTGAGCCAAGAAAAGTAGCAGAGTACGAAGGAAGCCTGGCTGCTTTTTACAACAGTGGTTCCAGACTCTCTGCTCTAGACTTGGGTCTGAACCAGTGGAACTTGGTCAGCTCTGGGCAGGTTCAGACTACCCAAACTGACCTTTTCCTAGCTTCCGCTCCACCTTGGCTTCATCCTCCTGGATCAGAATGACTTTCAAATGCTATTTCCTGACCTAGTATCATCTTTCTGTCCCAAGAATGTAAATATAACTGAGTTGTTATTTAATCCCTACAAATTGTTTTAGAAACACATAGGGGGACAGAAGAACAGACTCAGGATGGAGGTGGGGGAGGTGTGTCACTTCTCACTTCTTCAGGAAATCTTAGCTGCAGAAAAATTACTTTTCCTAATTACCTTTTCTCTGGCTTTCTGAAGGATTCTCTATATATCTGTCCTAGAACATAGCTGCAGTGGTGCTTAATAACAGTCAACAAAGTGGAGAAAGGGAAAGTAACAAGGTCATTTCAAAAACAAAGAACAATATAAAGAAATGAACTTGTATCCCAGCATATTAGAAACACCAGACACACAGACACAGAGGAATTAACATATGCATATAAACTTATAGAAATGTGTCCAGTGGATATGTTTTATATATAAAAATGTACTATCATTATAAAGGTTAAGGAAACTTCTAAAGATCAAATTCCCTACTTTGGAAATGGGGGTGGGGAGTAATAAACATAGTTGCGATTTAATACAACAGTCCATAGCGTATGTATTTCATAAATCAAAAGAGCAGAAAAAGGGAGACTGAAAAAAGAAACAGGAAGATGAAAAGTGAACTGGGAGTAAATGGAAGTTAAAGAATAATGAAAACCTGGTGGAACGTTAATTGCATTCTCTCCCTAAGCTATTTCTTCTCTGGAGCCTGTGTGGGAATTTGGCGGCCCTTCAGTGTCCATGGCAGGAAGTCACAAAGTAAAGTGAACTCCTTCTTCATATTGTATGAGGCTGAATTTCCTGGAAGATGACCCTTCTTATGTTGGATATACTATAAGCATCCCCTGTACATGCAGATAAAGCTGCCTCTACCACAACTGTGAGACCCACCGATAAATCAAAGTATCATCAAATACAAAGAAGCTGTCTGTGGTCCCCAAAAGATAATCTATAAAGAGAATCTCCTAGACAAGAAATTGTAGGCAAAAACTTAGGAAAAACATTGCAATTCTGAGAATCCATGCTTCATAAAATTATCTTGTGGAGGAATTTTAAACTATAGTTGTGAAAGTAGCTCCAGTCCAGCTGAATGAAGGCACCATTATTTATTAACAAAAGCTCCAGCAGATGATCTAAGAGGTCTTCACAGATCACATATTTCTGATTGCTTGGACTTCTTCATGATGGCTGTGAGGCAACCTCTACAGAGAAGGGCGAGCTCATGAAAGCAGCTCATTATACATCTATAATGCCGTTTCGTGAACGTAATTGGAGATGGGGGGAAAATGACTCTGACAGTGTCTTAACCGAGAACAAGGCTGATCTTTCAGGGGAGCAATTCATGTAATATATTAAGGGAAAGTTTTTCCATGGAAGTTATAGCTGGGAAACTGATGGAAAGGACCACGACAACTCTTCATACATTACAAACATAATCCCTTAGTTCTGAGGCTCAGATGCCTCTAAATGCCATAAACCCTCTCTCTGGGGCCATAGTTCAGTGCACCACTGTAATGAACCAAGTGCATTAAACATAAATATCATCTACTTTACTTCATGAGTTGACTCCAAGATAATCCACTATGTCATGCCATTTTGAAAATCACATGGAATTTTCACTTTGCTACTAATAATTCAGACTACAGATGGTCTCTGAGTTTACCATACTTTGACAGCTAGAGTGCGTTCTTTGCCAAAAGGGGTAAGCTCCTGATGGAACCCCCAGGTCAAAAGTATTTGTTGACTCTCAAAGTAGAAAGGATTCTTAACCTCACAAACAGAGATATAGCTGTATGGCAGCATGCAGTTAGTTGTATATGCCTTAGGTTAGCTATACTGACCTTTTCACTGGTGAAGGCGCGATAATTTTAGTTGTTCCTTCATTCTCTCCATTTTCCAGATTTACAGTTATCCGATTTATACTGTTTGATCCTAGTAACAAAGAGGAGAAAAGAAAGGGGGGAGAGAGAAAGGAATGGGAAGAAGGAAAACACAAAGAAGCAGGATAATTAGTGCCGCTGTGGTTATTATTATTATTATTACTACTACTAGTACTACTATTACTACTACTACTACTATTACAGGGAGTTGAGACAAGGTCTTGCCATGTAGCTCAGACTGGTCTCTAGCTTACAATCCTCCTGCCTCAGCCTCCCAAGCTTCTCAAGCACTGAGATTATAGGAATACACCACCACATTAGGACAGAATTATTATTTTAATGTGCACTGGTAGGGACTTTGCACCACATTTGATCAACTCCAAATAAATAATAGGCCACTCAATAAATCTGAGGTACACTTTCCTCAGATTTATTAATCTGGCATGTATTAAACCCTCAACGTAACAATTTCCCAGGGGTTTATCATCCTTTGAGACTCTTAAGACTCACATCAATTGACATTACCTTAGTCTGTTAAATTAAGACTTTAAGATATACAATGACCTTACTTTGAAAAATTTCTAACTATAAGTTTCTTTTTTTAAAAAAAGTATTATTTACTTTATTGTTATAATGGTGGTATACAGAGGGATTACAATTACATGAGTGAGGTAATGAGTATATTGTGTTTCCCAGACCTCAACTGAAATCAAACCAAACAAAAAAAACTTTCAAATCTGAAAACATATCAATTAATAATATGAACAGTAATATAGACCTGATTTGTATCATTCACATACAAAAAGTTTTCAAATGTGTTTTTATGAAAACATGCCTGAGTTTTTAAAAGCTTATTCCACTGATTTGCGTACATGCTAAACTGGACCAGCAGAGGGCACCCACAGCAGATAGGATGAAGGAAATAATGATGGAAACAAAGACAAATGCCTGCCCTGAAGGTCTGGATCTCTGTTCCCAGGGCAGAGGCAGATAAGCCTTTGGGAGCAAGATGTGTGGGCTCTGATGATGGCTCTTCCCCAGTGTGCATGCATCTCTCTCTATGAGGAGGCAGTTTAGGGGAACAGGAGATCAGCCTGTGTGGATGAATGATCACCACAGCTCTTCCTCAGAGCTGCTTCTCATAGGACTATGCCTGCATTCAGAGTCCTTATACCAATGCATACTCATCACTAATGAGAGTTATGAAAAAGCTCATAATATTAACAAGTGCTATCACTGATGGAGCCCTTAGTATGTTTCAGGTATTGTCCCTCAGCACTCCTCATCATGCAATCCTCATAACAATCTTAGAAAGCAAATAGCGGTATCACTTTATTTTAAAAGATATTTAGAAATGAGATTGCCTCAAGGCCCCATAGTCATGAATGGTGGGACCAGCTTTGAAACAGAGCAGTTTGGTTCCAGAGATTTAGACCCTACCCATCAAAGGAAGAATGCTTTCCCTCTGCTACCTAGGCCTCAACCATAATTAGTACAAAGTCAGACAAATCAAAGGTCACCTGGGACATAGGATCTCTTCAGAGGATAAGTGAAAGTAATGGAAAATGAGGAGAATATTCAAGTTATTGAACTAAAAGAATGCTTTCTCTCCAAGGAAACCAAGACTGATACTCAAGAGGAGCATTTGAACACCCCCAAGTTGTCAAGTCCCCCCAAAAGCAGTCTGGTAATATGTCTGGCTAACCAGTCAGGGAAGATTAACATTCATAACTGCCTTAAACAGAGAAAACAAATGGTGGCTTCAAATAAGTGCTACAAATACCATTATTTTAAGGAGTTGAACATGGATCATCTCCAAATTGTGTTCCTATTTTGGAATCCTGATCTGAAAAGTTGTATCTGAAGATATATGTGGCACTACAGGTGAGCTATAGTGGAGCCAGCACTGATAACTGAACAACATCCTGAATCTGGGAATTTCAAAGAGGCACACTAGCCAGGCACTTGTGGCTTATGCCTGAAAATCATGATTCAAAGCCAGCTTGGGCAGAAAAATTCAAGAGATTCTTATCTCCAATAAACCAGCAAAAAACCTGAAGTAGAGGTGTGACTCAAATGGTAGAGTGCCCAGCCCTTGGGCAGAAAAAGCCAAACAAGTACTCAAGGCTCTGAGTTCAAGCCCTAGTACACACACACACACACACACACACACACACACACACACACACACACACACACACTACTCCGATAAATATGACCAGGTGTGACAAATAGCACACAAGCACACACACACACACATCACTCCAATAAATATGACCAGGTGTGACAAATAGCACACAAGCAATTACTTTGCACTGTTCCATGTCAACTAAACAAGTGTAGTTATCCATGTCACCTTTTTCAGGACCACATGGCCATTAACAAAATCCCAGATTGTACACATCTATCTGGGATAGAACTGCCTTCCAGTGGAACTCTATAGGTGTGGCTCCCAGACAATGGCAAAGAGATTAATTCCCTTGTATCCCAGGCAGTAGTAAACCAAACGTTAATGTTTTTCATTATTCCTAAAAAACTTTAAACATGGCAATGTTCTTGGCAGATACAACTGATTTATAGTATAAGTTAAAGAGACCCTCATATAACAGTCTTCCCAGGCTTGGGGGAAGAGGACAGGGGCCAATGCTTAGTGTCAGCTGAAAAAGAGCTGGGAAAAAGTAACTACTATCTTAACAAAGCCCTGTGAACCAGCTGAAGAACAAACCAAGGTTTACTCCAACTTTCATCTCTGTAGACTGACAGGTCTTCTTGGAGTTTAACAACCAATCACTTTGGGCAAAGTGAAGCTGCCTGATGACTTTTACCTAGTTTCCTTCCAATCATGTCTGCCACTTTTTAATACATAGCTAGATAAATAGAATAATTTAAACAATAATTTAAACAGAAAAAAATTGAAAACAATATTTATGTATTTTCTTTAAGAACCCAATATTTGGCTATTCATAATATTCCAATCATATTTTTTGATATTCTGGATAGATGGTTTTCCAAAAGAATTTAAGAAGAAAAAGTTATATATGCATTATCTCTCTCATAGACATGGGCAAGCAGCATGGTTAAACTATGAAAATAAGTTGCTTGATCACCAGGACCAATTTACTAACATAAATATTATCAGTAATATAACCTAATTCATATTCAGAGTTGCAAACTATATCTGTGTATGGTCCATTTATGTGTACTAGAAAATCTGGTTGTATATGTTCCCCTACTGAATCCATAACTATGTGTGACTTAGAGAAAGCTGAGTTTTTTAAGCCTCACTAGGAAAACAAGACTCCTTGGGGAAAAACCACTTAGAAGCATTAACTTACTGGGAGGACTTATGACATTATCTTTATGTCTTTATGTATATGCCACAAAATGGTTTCATTTTAAAGACAAGAGAGAGAGGGGGCCAACTATTAAATTAATATAGCAGATGAGTAGCAACAGTTTCAGGTAGATACTGCTCCAGAAGATGTTTTGAGGTTAGAGAAATCTTTTCTCTCCATTCCTTTTTCATTACAACTTGTAACAGGGATACAAGAAAGAACATAGCAATACATAAATAAAATATACCTGCAATACATAAAATTAATTCAAACCTCAACTTAACCACGTCACTTCAAGAATTAAAACAGTGAGAAAGGTTTTGTTACATTTCACAAATCAACCTAGGTGAGTGCAATTCTTTATCTTTCTGATAAGGCTCAAAGGCTGTTTCCCACCTAACATACCTAAAAACATACATTTTCAAAATTATTCATAATATAGCCAAGAAAACCAATTAAATTCAAAAATGCAAAATAACGCATCTTTATTAATAAAATAAAGGACATCATCACTGTGTCCCTCCTATTAGCCCATTTAGTCAACTAAGATCTATTCTTAGGAAAGATCTGTTTCAGTTTCTAACACTTTTTCACTTGGAAAGTAAAACTCAACATGATGGTATTGTGTGTATCAAGTGTTCAGAGTAATATCTCAGCCAAAGGAAAAAAAAATTAAATCAAACACCTGGATTTGGCAGAATGAGAGACACAGGTCAGGAGGATACAAAGCCAGGTCCCACTGCTTAGAGCAGTGGTGTGCAGCCTTTGCACACCACTTTTAATCATAGCTACAGAATATCTGTGACAAAGATCCTTCATTGACATATGGCTATTACGGTTCCTAAGTAAACCTTTATGCTACTTTAGATAATATAATGGTAGCTCTAGTTTTCTTAATGAATTCAAATTAGTGAGAATTTGCCATGCCAACATGTGAGAAGAAAATTAATCAACTCAGCAAGGCTAGGATATGTCAAGAGGGCTGATTCATTTTACATACTGTTCTCATCAAAAAGACAGAGGACCTTGTCACAATGTCATACCTGGAAGGGCAAGTTTTATAGGAATTATACTTTTTTTTTAATGACACAAACTGAGCCACAGCCTATGACATATTTCTGGACTAGTAGACACTATAACTGAATCTGAACCCTCTAGCCCAGACAATGCTCAACGGCCAATTCCAGAACTCCACAGTCTTTTTGTTCTCTTTCAACAAACTATGTCCAAACGCTTGCAACCTGTGTGCATCAAATACTACACCAGGTTTCTGTCTGCTAAGGCTCTGTGTACACGAGCATCTGCATGTTAAGTCACCTGCACCTTCAGTCCAGGAACAGTGGCTGTCAGACACAGAATCAATTTCCCCAGGATCTGTTTAGCTACTTGATTTGAGGAAAATTCTTAAAAGTCATCCTGTGACATCAAGATATGATGATGAATATACATGCATTTTCAATTCCAAAAACACTTTGCCTTGAAGTAGTAGGAACCGTATAAAATTCATAACTCTATTTGACACCTGTCGACTTAAATAAAATCTTTGATGTTATTTAAATGTTGTCATGGATATTAATTTACAGAGTGTGACTAGAACATGAATGGGTAACATTAAAATGTGAGAAAACTTTATTTTGATATGTAGAAACAGAACACGACTACTGAATGAGGCAAGTTTGTGATGTATTATTGATTTCTTTGTCAAAACCCACATATG